ATATATATATATGTCTATGCAATTAGTGTGTGTTAGTTACTGTAGAATGTAGAACAATCACTGCTGTAGTAGATCATTTGTTTGTTGTTTTTTTTTTCTTTTTTTAAGAACCCATTAGTCTATCAAGATGCAAATAAAATTATTTTGTTACTTTTGGTCGTATTTTGAGCCCACGAAACACACCCCCCCCCCCCTCTGGTCTGGCGGCATGGTACTTTGGGTACCTCGTTACGCGTTTTTCCAAATGTACTTGGCAGATCAGTTCGAGATGTGTTGTGGGGTGGGGGGTTCAACTTCATTCACCACTGTCCGGTCACTTTAAGTATATTATCTTACCCAGCGTATACCCAAGTGGGACATAATTACGGCCTGTCCAGTTCTGGTGGTGAGGTAGGGGGGGGGGGGGGTAACCAACTCTTAGTGAAAATAGCGTCAGTTTTTAGATGGATGTTCTAAACATACATATACATATAAACACATACATACTGATTCAGAAAAATTAATTAAATTAGTTCAGTGGTATAATGACAATAAAATTATTTTATCAGAGGGTTCCATGTGGGGCTATACCCCCCCCCCCCCTCGCCTATGCCACTGCTTCAAACCATTGTTTGATTACAAGGCTGGCAAAAATCTGGCTATTCACGTATTCTAGGAACAACTATAGTATCCTTATTGTTTGGATATTAGACAAGGCATTGTGTGCAAGCCCAGTGATTACGTTATAATGGCTTGATTGTACTATCGCTTATCAGCAGTGTTCTGGGATTGAAATCAATCAATCTTTTAGAATTCTACTCAACATTAACAAGACAATTTATTTGACTTTGTTCGTTTGTTTGTTTGTTTGTTTGTTTGTTTGTTTGTTTGTTTGTGGTTTGTGGCAAATCTTGTAACTCAATTTTGACCCGCTTCTAATGCAGCGATTTATTTTACACTTTCCATATACGTTCGGCTCCAATGACAATGAAAGAATATCTACATTTTAATCTAATTAGACATTAGGTTAGTTATTAAAATGTAAGTAAAAGATCGTTAAATTTAAAAAAGGGGAGATAACAAGATTTAATACAGGCAGTTGCTAGCCGACGACGTGAACTGTTTCGTCACGTATGGTTGGGTTTATTTTTTTCCCTGAGCGTGAGCGTAGTGCTACCGAGAAATGGAGTTCATTTTCTTTTAGAGGTTGCAAACCACTGATCGGGTTTTGGAGCAGTTATTTTTAGTCGCACGGGGTGTCAACTTCATTTAGAATTCATTGTTTAAAAGTGGAAAATATTGCAACTAAAACATTGATCGCTTATGAAATCTCCTATACATTTTGGCGACCAAAACTGTTATTTAAGATAGGAAATATGTTTTGTTTTCTTATTACAATGTACTGAAATTAAAATGTAATTAAACTCGAATTGATTCCGAATGGTACAATAAAAGACGTCATGAAGTACAAAATTATGGTATCGTTTTCATATAAAAACTATTAGATTGTATTGACTAAATCGTCACAATGTTTTTATTGATATTTGGTTTATACAGTTTTTTATTTGCCAAAATATTTTAAAATGAACGCAAGTGATAACTTCAGTTGCCCAGTTTTTCTGGTATTTGTTTTTCTATGTGCGCTATATTTGAATTTTTATCAAAACGGCATAGAGTTTTAACTAAATCCAGTAAACCTCTCATTTTATATTTTAAATAGCGACAACATGTATTTCAATTTACCGATTTGGTCGCGAGGTCTGCAAGTTCGATCAGCGGTTTGCTAAAGAACAGTTCGATATTTGAATTTAGAAAGTTTTATTGTCTTCGCCAAAATTTTGATTTTAATGTTTAAATTATAGTAGATTAAGACTGTTGCTTTATCAATGCATGTCAATTTATTAGCGTATGTGTGTTGTAATAAAACAGTTAATCATCGTAACAAGACTTATAGTTAAAAAGCATAGGGCAATATAATAATAATAAAGTTAGCTACCTTCGAATCTTGCTTTATATACTATTTTAACTGTGATTTCCTGTATAATCCTATAGTGTTAAAACAAACGGTTGCTTTATGTCTGATAGACTGTTTCAAATTTGGTAGGCAGCCCGATGATTGGTTAAACAATCGGGCCATGGAACGTGACCTACTTGAGGATATGTGTTACTTCACTTGTTTTTGTCACTCAAGGATCTCTCAACAATGCACACACAGTACACGCATTTTTATTACAGTGTTAGGGCTGTGAGAGGGCGTCATCTTTCTATATCAATATTAAATAGGATAAGCCTTCTCATAAGTTATCGATTGGTCACACAGATAGGGTGAATACACTTGACAGAATACTTAGTACTTTCGATTGCAGGTTTATTCAAACTACTAACATCAACAGTTCAGTATACGATTGGACTGGTCCTTGACAGATCACAGATTTCCTCTCACATCAACGGCATAGCCTGAACTGCCTAATATGCATTCCACAGCAACCAGTTTCTACCTCAAAACGTCACTGTCCTTCATCCTTGTCATGACTCCAAGCCTGTTGAGAATATATTGAAAACCATTATTCCAGAAGTAAAAACTAGGATAATGATGGACAATAGAACATAAACAAAGAAACGTCCACCCCTTCTCCCAAATAACTTCATAAACAAAGCGCTTGAGTGAAGATCACAGGCGGAGAGAATGTAAAAAGGCCAATGGTATCTTGACAGAGATGTTTTTTAAAGTAGATAGGAGAGGCTGAATTAACGTGGTCAGAGGTAAAGAGAATATTTAGCATGCTCCAAAGAGAAGGAATACGAGACATACGAGATTGCTTAAATGAGAGGTGTTGAACGAGCTAAACTTGGCTTTGAGATACAAGTAAAATTTGAGATACGAGTAACCGGATTAGCGGCGGGTTTAACACTTCGTTGAAAAGAAACTCTCCAAAAAAGTTGCAACTAATTGTGAATCAGAGCTTTTTAAAGACACTTGCCTAACTCATTTCTATATGTGGTGGTATTTTTCAAAATAGATATACACTCAGACATTCAGAGGCGTAGCGACCCTTCCCGGCGCCCGGGGACATACTTTCAATTTGGCGCCCCCTTGGGAGCAAATTTTCAATTTGCATCCCCCCTCGAACTTTTCATTTGCACCCCCCCCCCCTCCCCTCAAACTTTCGATTTGGCGCCCCCCCCCCCTAAGGTCGGCGCCCGGGGACATATGTCCCCCCCCCCCCCCCGCCCCCCCCCCCCCGCTACGCTACTGCAGACATTGCCAGTCAGCTGACAAAATGATAGATTTGATACAGGCAACACATAACTAAAGTTAGAGAAAACGATGCCGTCCATTTAAGTGGCTTAGCGGTCCTGTCTGGTGAGAATGGTCACGTTTAACTCCCGGCCTAGCGTGAACGGGAAGCTCATCGAGTTGGGTTACATCTCCGTTCAACAGGCGCCACACAGCAGCAACGTTATGGTTATTTAGTTGCACCGTGTTATCCTAGGTATGCAAAGTAACGGGATTAGGGCATTCATTTTCAGGTTTACTGTATATCCTTCTGAAGCCAGATATATGCCTCTTTAAGAAATCTGGAAAAATAACGAGCATATCAAAATTATCGATTCTAAATTATTAAAGCAAAAGTATATTTCTACATTTTATCAAAGCTTAAACGTCAATGTATTTATTTGCATTAACACACTTTCCATTTAAGGCGTTGTGGGGGCTAAGTCGCTGGAAAGAAGGCCAAAGTCCCCACCTGTGTTTTTTTCTACCTGTTGCTGCATGTTTGTGTCACCACAAACAGCTGGATTGTAATCTTGATAACGCAATGATTCTGCTGAAATCAGAGGGGGATACTGCTCTCACATAGCAAGCTCTAGACTAAAATAAGAAACTGTGTAGAACAGGATATTTATTAAACGTGCTACTTTGAGGTTCTAATATTCTGCACAAAGTAGGACCTGATCAAATTGTCCCTTTATTATGTGGGGTAGCGTGTGCTACAGAAAACAATGATCCTTCCAGTTAAATACATTGACAAGTCCCGACAAGGGTAGGTGGGGGGGTGACACCAAGACGTAAACCTGCTACATTCAGCTGTAACCGACAATAGATAAACATCGTTAGTATTATTTGAGCACTGCTTACAGGGGAGAAGTTACAACAACTAAATGTTGCAAAATTTGCCTGAAGAAAAAGGTTTTGTTGCGAATTGCAATGACTTATACATCAATCCACGTCAGGGGGCGTGACACCAAATTTAATTCTTAACAACAAAAAACATGATTTTTACAATATAATTAATAACTTTAAGAGTTAGGCCCCTAATGCTTTTTATTAATATAATGTTTGCATGAATTGACGCCATACAACAAAAAGTTGGTGATTGACACCAAATACAACGTCCACCAAAGTGGATTGGGATGAAACCAAATAGGAAAGTAACTAATCTGCACGTTATTTCAACCAAGCAAATTTTTATACAAAAGCCCAATGACTTGACTTATTTTGACTTAGTCCTCTTTGCTCCTTATGGAACATAGGGCCTTCACCACTTCCTTCCATTTCATCCGATCCCCGGCTATTAATTTTGTCGTCTGCCATGACATCCCTGTTGACTTCAGTTCTTCGAGAAGACTCCGTCTCCAGGTCTGTCTTGGGCGATCTCTCTTCCGCTTACCCTGTGGGTTCCACTCAAGCGCTTGGCGTGTCACATTTGGGTGAGCCTTTTTCAGTGTATGTCCCACCCAACGCCACTTCCTCCTTCTTATTTTCACACCCATAGGCTCCTGCCTAGGTTTTCTCCATAAGTCTATGTTCGGCACTTTGTCCTGCCACTGTTCGGCGACAACATACATTCTTATAACTAAAGTTTAGGCAATTGTAAATATATTTACTTTAAAAAAATTTGAACGCTAAACTTGTTTTGTTTTTAACATTGCTTTGTATCTTTTTAAAGCTGGTTATGTCCATGGAGATACGTTTTGAGAACTGCTGCTCTCGGTGTGCCCCTATATAAACGGTGTCACGCCTAGTTATCAACAGTCCTCTCACCTGAGATTGAAGGTAAGTTCACTCTAAGTTTGTGCACAGCAGATCTGTGTGAAATGTCTAACATTGCGCGTATATATTTTAGGTGTAGTGCCCATTTTTAAAAATGTCATCATGGTCCGTCTTTAGTTATATTAAAATAATGATAGAAAACTTTTAAAACTATATTTTTAATGAAACGTGTTATCTTTTGTTCATGAATAGTGGCTGAAAATGTCAAACATGTGAACTATTTAGAATGTTAAGTGTTAGTTTAAATCCCTGTCGTTTTAATATAAAGAATTATTTTCATTTCGATTGCGTCGCTTGTAATTTACATTTTACCTTCTAATTTGACCAAGTAAATTTAATTGAAATATAAATATCTTTGTATTGTAATAGGCATTGGCATAGAAGGAAGTTGTACCCACTTCAAAAAGACAATTATGTGATAACTTCAGTCCTATATTGATAGGAAATTTTGATAGCAAATTCCAAGGGTGTTGCCGTTAAATGGGGTTCAAGGGCTTGGGTGGAGAGTATGCTAAAAAATCTACCTTATCGTTTTCTCATTAAAATGATACATTAATAAAAAATACGCCTAACTTAAACTATTTATCTTTTTGTTACAAAAAAACGTATTTGAGTGGGATAGGTGGTGGTGTGGGGGTTGAAGAACTAGGGTGGCATGATTTATCTGTTGACGCAAAAGATTTCTTGTTTCTTGTTAACCCAGATGAATTTAAACTGTCTGCCCTCAAATATAATAATATAAACGCTGAAGTGTGTCACTGTGTACCCGCTTGATACGGATCTTCCCATACTCAAACTGTAAACAGCACTGTTTACAACATAGCCTAACAAGAAAAATAATATACCGCTGAATTCATAACATGGTTAGGATGTAAAATGGGAAAAAGTTACCGATAACGTTTTAAAATATTTTGTCGAATGTCGCGTCACAATTAAATTTGTAATTTGCCATTAAAAGATTTTTCTTTCGTATCATTAACAGGACACGAAAGCTGAGCCATTGTTGACCGCCAACTTTATTTCGGTATGTATAAGTTGTAGAAACTGGATCTCTGTGCGGATTTTTAGATGTCGTTAGAACTACTTCTTGACAGTTTTAATGTTGTAATTATCTTACTACTAGATACATCTTTCTGATAAGTAATAGGGATTTCGAATTAACCCTAACCCTAACCACAACCAACCAAAACCAAACACAAAAAACGCAAATATAACAAAAACGCAAACTAAAATACAAAAACAAACAAAAAAACACAAACAAAAACGCAAACACAAACAGAATAACAAACACAAAAAACGCAAACACAACAAAAAAGGAAAACAAATACCACCGAAATCCCAAACCCAAATACAAACTTAAACCCAAACACAGAGAAAACACACACGCAAACAAAAAGCAAACACAAATACAAAAAGAAACACAACCGCAAACCTAAACGCAAACAATGATCAAAATAATGCAAATAAATGCAAGCATAAACACAAACCTAAATGCAAACATAAAATCATAATCCTCATAATCCAGCCCGGGGCGCAAAATCGCACCATGCTGGGGCGCCAGTGGAACCGCCTGATTCAACTTAGTAAACGACTATAGTATCCCAACTTATTATTCCTCTTTAGCTCTCACTTAAACGAACGTAAGCGCCATATCTAACACGGGAAGGCTCGGGGCGCGGAATAACACCCTGTGGGGGCGCCAAGGACGCCCGAATTCGATTCAGTTAAAGACTATAGTAACCTTTCTTATCCAAAGTCTATTGCACTGTTTAAAACAAAATTATACATCATAGCGCTCGCAGGATTGCCCAGGGCGCCAAATCGAAACCTGCCTGGGCGCTGGCGGACGCGCCTGATTTAATTTAGTGAACGACCATAATACCCAAAGCTTATACGCAAACGAAAAGATAGAAGTTAACATATAGGACATGTAGGAGCTGGCTTCTAAACTGTTATTGATTTTTTTAAAAATATTTGCGGTGCAAAGCAAAGTCATGTGATGGAAATTTTGAAGCTATAAAACATAAACATAGTTCTTAAAAGAAATTGTTTCTTCGATCTTGCCTTCACAATCAAGAAAGTAGTAAAACTTTACACTGCTAAATTTACTGCAAAAACATCTGCTTAAAAAGGTACCTACTATGGTAAAGTTAAAAAAAAAAAGACGACGTACATCCTGTTTGGTGCGACAGACAAAAACGAATTCCCCTTCGTGAGCAAAAAAAGACACAGATAATAACATGAGCTCTACTTCACTTGCCCAGTGTCCCGCCAAGTTCCGATAGGCAACTTTATCATTCACGTATAAAAAACCAAATTGAAAAAAAAATAATAATTTAAGAATGACTTGGTGTGTCTCGAATTCTATGAATTGAATATTTATGCTTGAGTGTAGTGGTGCACAATGAATGAAGCAAGTTTATGTCATGTGCTGTCCTGTAGCTGATATCAAACAGAAATATATTTTGACAAAACTGTTCACAAGAAAAAAGATTTTTGTTTTCATTTTGGTTTTCAATTTTCGTCTGTGTTTTTAATTTTTGCTTAGGTAGCCTACGATCTAGCGTTGGTAGGAAAAATAAAAGGTGCAAATATAGGGTCTCATCTGGTTTCACGTCATGGTCTTCCAATGGTTAAAAATATAAGTTGTTAATGCTTAAATACTATGAATACATTTTTTTTGTAAATTAAGGTCAGGTTGTCTTAAATAAAATGAATATATATATATATATATATATATATATATATATATATATATATATATATATATATATATATATGTATATATACATATATAACATGTGTTGTAGGCTACATAGTTAGTGATCAGTTGTGCCCAAGTTTCAGAATTTGGTGTAAAATATATACGTAACTTGGTAATAGATTCAGGCTCCAGCACGTCTGCGCTGCGCACGCCTTGCCCGCTTCACCACAGAGTAACATTAGTCCACGGTCTAGGATGCTGAAAATAGAAGGCCTGACATACTAAATATTGCTAACATAAATAACATAACAAGCTATACGCGTGTAGGATAGAACAATGTGGTTGGATATAGTAAGTAGAGATAATAATTTAATACAAGACAATTTGAGAAAAAATTATTACTGTGAACAATAGTAAAATGCTGACACATAACAAATGACAATAAAAGGTTGATATAGATTTCTAATTTCTTAAAATAATCAAATGCCTTCTGTAAAGAATAGATCTCTTGGACACACCTATCACAAGGGTGGGGGTTAGCGAGCAGGTGCGCTGAACAAGGCAGTGATCAGGGTAAAAAGCACCGAGTTCATCGGTTACCGGCCCTTTTATCACACCAGCGACGGCCTGTCCCATAAGCCTTTTAGGCTTGGGATGAGTCGCATCATAGATCTAGCCCGGATTAACAGTCTGATGGTCATGGGATTCCAGCTGGTCCGTGGGTGGGGGTGGGTGGAGAAGGGGGAAAGAGGCCGACGTAGGGCGGAGGTCATGTTTTTTTTATTGATTTTGAATGCACGTATGATATAGAATGATAGTAGTTGTCCGTTCGAACATTCAATCATTATTTATTGTGTGTAAGGGGAAGGGGGGTGGAATACAATTTTAGTGGCATTCTTTATGGTCGACCACCTACGTCCAGAATATATTGCAACTTAGTTTTCCTATTACGTAATCCATTATTTCATTATAATTAGGTTATTTCCAGCTCGTAGTAGAAAGCTCGAACGCTAATGTAAAAGGTTGTGACACCGCAATGTCCCTCAAATGAAGCAAAAAAAAAAAAAACCCAACTGTTCTTTTTTTAAGACAACCATTTTAGTAGACTAAATTAATCAAGCAATTAATCGTCCCTTAACCCTTGTTGTGGTCGTTCAAAATATGTTGGACTCTCTGGACAATTGTGTTTTTGGTAATAGAAATGGAGCTGGGGCAATTATCTCAGACCTATATGAAACCTCTTTTATCTCACAGCAGGAAATCTGGATTCCTGGTTGGCGAGAATGGTACAGTAACTCAGCTTTACAAACGCGTTAAAGCCATTCTCAATCCTTATAAAGGTAAGTTTGGACTTATAGGTAGAAAACTTAAAATATATGTGTAACAGCTAATGTATGGGGGAATTTCATAACTACAACATCGTAAAAATAGAATATAACTAAATAGATCTAATATATCAATATATAAGTAACAAATCCACAGTTAAATCAAGCTTCTAGACATTTAGTTTATGCTCCAAAATAGTTGAAAATTTTTTGTTACTATAAGTTGGGTTATAAATATAACATAATTTCATAAAGCCTTTTTTCCAGTACTGGTGATGTATGTTATATTTTCCTTCAGACCTCAAAACCACCGATTAAGTCACAAAGTTTCGCACAAAAGCCATTAATTCTACAAGCTCTTCGGTTAGAGAACGCATCACATGGAACCACAAGAAGGAACTAGTGTTTTCGGGGAGATTCCTGGAGACATATATATCTTAATGGCAGGGACGGATTCAACAACCATCTCATCTGGAGGGTCGTCTGGGTACAACACTGATACCACATTTGGTCGAAGTTTTAACTCAGATAGCCGGGTGGGATTCGCTAGTATAATGGTACAGTACGCTTACACTTTGCGGTAGTTTGTGTAATTAATTATGTAAAATGTCTTTCTGGCTCCCGAAATCTCAAAGTACTGCAAATAAATAAACTTGAGGTTTTTATAATTTAAAAGCTTATTTATATCTAGACTATGAGTCGCTTGGTACGGGGTGGTAAAATCCTTAGGAAAAGTGTGGTAATATAAGTTGCTAAGCTTTTACAATTTTTGTAAATAGCTAATTACCATAAATTTAATAATTAAAATGTGTTCTTACTTTATTGCCGACCCAAAAGTTACCTTATGGAAAATATGGTTAAAACGCGATGTCTTATTGGTTAGCCTTACATCCCTCAGGTCCAGGAGAGCAGCGATGAAACTGATCTCGATGTTTCACTCTTAGGGAACATTAGCGAAAACGACAACAGGTCTATGTTAGGTGTTCCACTTAATTCTGACATAGATGTCAACGATGTTGAATCTAACAGTTACTGTATTGATATTAGGAAGGAGAGAAGGCAACTTCGAATAAGTCGTAAGTATATTGAACATTATGTTGTCGTTTAGGCCAGTAGTTTATGGATTTGTTACTGTTACTTGAACTGAGTTTAGTTTAAAAATGTCTAACTTTAGGCTGGTTATAGATAGCTCATAACTTGGTAACATTAGTTCAAATGTTGACTGCTAAAAGTATTAAGTCTCACTTTGATTTGAAAGCTGCTTATTTAAACAGAGTAGATATATATTACAGCAAAATAATTGTTTTATATAGAGTTAAAATTCTTGATGAAGGTAGTGCCTTGATAAGATTTGATTGAAGTGTAAATTCTGCTTCAGGTGTCATTTTCTGTTACGTTTAGACATTGTGTTTATGATTTATAACTGGTTTTTAATGTATTATTACTTGATAGTAATGCAATTATTATTTTAGTTGCAAAAGTATGTGTTTATTGTTCTAGGGTTGTCTAGGCAAGAAACAGCTACTCCAAGAATAGGATAGTTGTGGTACGCTGTACCGAAGTATGTGATGGCGTTTGATGGTGAATGGATGCAAAAGTAATTTTATGGCCGAAACGAAATGTAAATTATTGAAACATAACTCAACTATGATGTTTATACCCATTATGTTACGATGATGATGCGTAAGTGAACGCACATTATTGAAACCGAATTAGTATGCTTATACCCATTATGTTACGATGATGATGCGTAAGTGACCGCACTATATTGAAACCGAATTAGAATGCTTATACCCATTATGTTACGATGATGATGCGTAAGTGACCGCACTATATTGAAACCGAATTAGTATGCTTATACCCATGTTATTACATTGGTGATGCCAATATTGGTTGTCTTGCTATCGCATTTTCAAAGCAACACAGCCATAAAGAATATGTACATATGCCTGAGGTCTATAATAATTGAGAAAAAATAGCGCATCTGGGAGTAACAGGGGCTACCATCCCCTACCCAGCGCGTCCACAGGTGGTGGATAGTGGAAATTCCTCGTAGAGGAAAGCTGTGAATAAGGAATAAACAGCCGCGAACCAACTGGAAAAATTATCTCGATATTTATAATGTTTAGGTAAAAGATATTTAAATATCTAAGCTATTGCTATTGTATGATGTTTTACTGTCGTTGAATTATTTTATGTTTGATTGTAATATAAAATATTTTAGTAACAGTCAACTTTTGTATTCTATCATGCAAATGGACTAATGGCAACCTTGTACCTATATAACTTCATAACTTATATTCAAAGCCGACCCATATGATGAGAATCATAATGGTTTGTTATACCCTTATAATTATTATGAGTATTGTCCACTTTGTTCTGTTGACAAAATAAATAATGTATGCATTTCCTTAATCTTTTGTTTCTTATTTTTACCGAGTCGTTTCGAGTAACTCAATAATAAGGGTGACATGAAAAGTGTTCGTCGAAAATCCAGAACCACTTTTTCATCATGATTTCTTTAAAAAAAACACTATTATTAATATCTTTAGAAGACTGCAGTATTTTGTGTTAGTCAATAAATTAATGTTGAGGATAATTAGCAACCTAATATATAAAAGCCCATGTGCGCACGTCTCTCTCTCTCTCTCTCTCTCTCTCTCTCTCTCTCTTTCTCACTCTCTCTGTCCGCAATATTAAGAGACTATGTGATCTGTATGTTCAGCGAAATATGGAGAATTTAAAGATACGACTTTTGTTGAAAATATTATGTTAAATGTTGTAAGTGTGTAAACTAAATTTTATTTAAAGAAATAAAATAAAAAATAAAGCAATATTTGAATGTAGAAACACATTTTTAATTATACTACCGGAAAAGTATTTATTGTTGTGAAAAGAATGCTAAAGACAACGACTTGACATTTCACGCGTTTAAACTTCGGAAAGCACACAAACCTAATGGCGTCATCTTCCAATTTTAGAACATGAAGAAATGAACTATTTCATTCAAATTTGATTTAGATCTATAGATCTACTTATCAAGACGAACGCCATGAAATGTATACAATTTTCTTGGCCAAAATTAATACAAATTATTAAAAAAAAACATAAATACCATTGAACAGCCGGGATTTAAGCAGAATCATTTTGGTCTCTTAATCAGTGTGTGCATTTAATAAGGTGTTGTGTTCACTAATAATTAATATAATTTGGTTTTACTAATAGGGGGTCATCTATAAATGGCCTCACACTTTTTTGACGATATTTACCTCCACCTGCCCTCCGTCACACATCGTCACAAAAAGCGAGACCACCCCCCTAAAATGACGTCACACCTCAGCCTACAACCACCCCCCCCCCCCCCCCCTCCCACTCAAAATTGCAGTTGAATTTTTTTTAAACATCGATATTTTTCAAAAATCTTGTCTGAACTCTGTCAAATTAGAGTATTTTAATCAATTCCTATTACAATTTATTAAAACAGTTTTCTAAAACGCGAAATTACGTCTAAAATTCGTTTTCTAACCTTGCTTTTTTATAATGCAAAATTGTTACGTCGCACCATCTGACCCCCCCCCCCTTTCCCCCTCATTACACACCGTCACAAAATTACGGACCCTCCCTCCCCTACGAGTGTGACGTCATTTACGGACGACCCCTAGGTATTGGTAGTCTCTGTTATTTTAATGTGTCGGATTTTTAGCTATTTAGTTATTTCTTTGCTTCGTCACTTCTATCGTTCAAATTGTTGTAAAACACATTGCGTTTTGACCTATAACTATTTTATTAAATATTTTCTTAAACAAGTATAACATTAAAACGTGTAACGGGTAGGCCTACCGATGGCTAGTTGAATAATAGTCTGACATCCAAGATGTAATTGTATTTTATGTATTCAAAATGCAGAATACTAAAAAAGTTTTTCACAAATTATTACAAATTATAATAAGCAATGCAGTTTTACAAAAATTAAAATGCATATCAAATGAATAAAGAGCAAGATTCAAAGTATTAACCATGTTCGTGAATAAAACAAATTTAATATAAAAACTTTTATAATAACAAGATTTTAAATGAAATGAAAATAAGAAAATAAAACAACCTTTCTCTCTTTGATTAAAGCTTTTGTCGCTCATGAGATCTCTTACAATTACTTACATATTTATCAACCAACAATTTTAGAATTGTAAGCAAATTTGTTGTATTTCCTTGTTTTCAGTGCATTTACTTTTTACTTTTTGTTATAAAGCCTTTCATATTTGTTTTATTTCCACTTTTTAATAATTCATACTAAATAAAGTTGACACCACATAGTCTACAACTAAAAATATTTGCTTTAAAAAACCTTATACAAACTACACTCTAATACTGTGATTTTTAATGTTTTTGAGGTGCCGAACCATACCAGTTTCATATGCGCCTTCACCGAATCCTTCTTAATAGCTTAAGCGTCCACATTGACAAAATCTTATCATGAATCATATGTCGGGTGTGTGTCTTAATCTCCGCCGGAGCTCTGAGACTTACATACTACCTCTTGGGTTCGATCGAACCCAAGTTAAGAACCATTGCTCTAAGCTCTTTTTATTTTCTTCTTTTTTTTTCGGTTTCCTAAAGAGCATAGGCGTAGGCAACACTTCGTCAACTCACTTGCTTTTTTGGAAGATAGAACCTTAATAGTCAAACCTCCCCTTTTCTATTTCAAACGATTATCTTCAGACATTGTTTTGTCTCCTTCTCTTCATCTTCCCGTGGACTTACACCAGCACCTGTTTAGTGATGTTATTTACTAATATTGTGCCATTAACCACTACTTTTTCCATGCTCTTATTTCATTCTTCACTGTCTGTAATCTAGCTCCGAGCCATACAGTAAAAGAGACTTCGCATTTAGCTATAGATCCTGAATGAATTTCTTTGACAATGCACTTGAATTCCACATTGTCTTAGAGTGTTAAAACGCGTTTAATTGCTGCAGTTTATAATCAGGACGTCATGGGCGGTACCATTATCATTAAACTGGTTATTACTGCTTCTTCAATCAGAACATAAAAGAACAATAGAACATAAAAGACTGGTCTCAACAAATCAGAGCTTGCTACAAACGACCCTCTAACTCAGAACAGGCATATTTTTTTTTCTGACATTACTAATCTTTTGTAAAAGGAAAACGCATCTTAATGGGAATTTAATTGGCGCAGAGTAAAGTTTTATGGAACGAAAATCATACACTGTAATTATTAAACCTTTTCCGGACTGTCGCATACACGCACACACATACACGCTTACACACACCCACGCTTATACACACACGCTTACACACACATATATATAATATATATGTAGTTATATATATATATATATATATATATATATATATATATATATATATATATATATATGGGGGCGCCAAATTGAAAGTTCGCCCCGGGCGCCGGGAAGGGTCGCTACGCCTCTGGTAACGTGCCTTTGCAGTCAGCAGATAAAACTGTACGTCTAGACTTCATTTTGATTTTAACGTTACTTCCCTTTGCTTGTGGTAGAATGTGTTTTTTTTCCTTTCTATTAGGATCGGATGTTGCTTTTTTTTTAACCTGATTGCTCAGTGTTATTTTTATTGTCCAATGGCCATCAAGAAATGATAATATGCCGATGCTGGCCAAACAGGGAACATGGGTCTATAACCTAGGCTAAACCTATGCTCCTCCTTCGTAGGAAGGTGGGGAGGGGGGGTATTATTTAGTATGAATAATCCGTCTAATAATAGCTAATAAAACAAGTACCCGCTTTAAACCAAACATAATAAAAAATGTATACTGGTCCGGCTATTTTGACCGTTTGGTAGGAATTAACGTGTTTTGATTTAACTCTCTAGCTAAAATACTTTCAGTTTACATTGATTTTATTTGGAATACTTGCGAATTTTCACTAGCAACTGTTTACTTCCTGTTAGACCGTTTTCGTTTAGCACACACACACTCATATATATATATATATATATATATATATATATATATATATATATATATATATATATATATATATATATATATATATATATATATATATATATATATATATATATATGTAAACCAACTGCTATTGTGTGTAATACTCATACAAGAAGACACATATAAAGTGGAAACATATGTTGACCTTGGCAACATTGGTAAAAATAAGCAATAAAACCGAATGTAAAAAGTTGTTTATTACATATAATTACACAACTGTGATGCATTAAACTGAACTCCGTACAAAAAAGCGTTCCGGCTAACCGATGTGTGTAGCCTGTATGTGTAGCATCATATGTGTATAGCCTATATGTGTTGCATAGAATGCTTAATTCTTTATAAAGGCGGTTGGCGAACCACGCATCAATTCGTTCATTTAAAGTATTTAAAGAAAACAAGAAAACATTAAAGCTTCACTAAAGAAAAGCTACGCTTAATGAGTTAGAACTAGCTGTCAACTAAACCTACATGATGTCATAAAAAACGTTCCGCGTCTTTAGCCTAACAACTGCAGTTTTTAGCCATCGCACCAGCGGTTCTGTAGTTTTTCAATGTTTTGCCGCTTTTGCCAGGTAAAACGGCCCGTGACAAAACGGCCCCGTCAAAACGACCCAGTCAAATATTCCCGTCAAAAGAGGGCCCCGACAAATTGACTCCCGTCATATGGGATCCTGTCGTATTGACTCGCAACATATAGACTCCCAAAAAATGGACTCACGACAAATTGGCTCCCCACTAATTGGCTAACGACGTATTGGCTCCCGACAAATGGGATCACAACTAACGGGCTCCCGATAAATGAGCTTCCGACATATTGGATCCCGACAAATGGGCTTCCGACATTTTTGCACCAGACAAATGAATCGTGTGAACACATTTGGCATAGACGTAACTATTTTGTCCAACCCACCAACAACACCCAGTTCCTACCTCCACTACAACAATAATCTCTTTTAAATGCCTGAATAAAAAAACTTTTTTCTGAACCAAATAGGGCTAAATTTAGCACAAATTTTAATGGTATTCCTACTCATATAATGTTATATAAACATCTTATTTTTTGTTACATTTCCTGGACCCCCCAGCCCCTCCTAGCAACAAACGGGAGCCATGATTATATATGGTAGCCAACACATAATTTGTATGTTTTATAGTTTGGAATATCATATTTTGTTAAAGAAAAATCACTTGTTACATTTCCATTTAATTAAACAACATATTTTGTGAAAAAATAAGCAAAACATGTACCTACAAAGTTTTTTTTTTTTTTAACTACGGAACGGTTCACAACTGTTCTGTAAAACTTTTTTTCCGCCTCAGACATGTAATTTACAGCATCAGTTTGCCTTGCATGTTCGCTTTAGTATTATAGCTTTCATCATTGGCTTGTGAGGACTGATATAGATTGATATAGAGGCGTAGCTGGGGGGCGAGGGGGGGGGCTCCCCGGGCGCCGACCATAGGGGGCGCCAAAAGGGGTGAAAAATGTTTCAAAGCTGATTTTATGCTGCATTTTTTAATTATGAACAGTCTAAACTAAGAAATGTTATGACTACATACGGATTTAACTGTTTTCTACCTTGAGTATTTACTGTAAAACATATACTTTTAAGAAACAGTGACTGGCAAAACTCCTTTCCAGCTTTTCATAGATGGGAGGGGGGGGGGGGCGATTTTTCGAGACTAAAATCGGAAAAATTTACACTAGATTGGTGAGTCGCTCCCACTTATAAAAGAAACCAATTGTATTAAAACGTATTATACGATTGTTTAACCGTAAAATACGTTAGAAATTAATTATTGTATTAAAGTGCATTGTACTATTGTGTAACATTTTTTTAAAAGTTAGTTACGTTAAAACATGCTCTGCAAACTTTGTCCAAGGTGGTTGGGAGGTGTGAGATGTGGGGGCGCTTTTTTCGCGAACAAAAATCGCAAGTATTTGTTCTGGATTGGTTAGTAGATAACTCTTTTGACACTTAGAAAAGAAACCAATTGTATTAACGCGTAATGTACAATTTTACTTGCCAGTTTCGTTAAGACATGACGCGACTAGTTCTTTGTAAGATTCTTATGATTCTCTCAACTCCAACGTGAGAGGTCAGATATTTTTACTTGATTGCATTACATCTTGCCTGGATCACTGCACTGTATTAAAGAGAAATTAATGTCACGGATTCTTGAATCACTATCCGATCAGTAAAATAGCTCACGGTCGGAGCGAGTGGGCAGAAGACGAAATTTTAAGAGCTAAAAACAATGTTATGCAATAATATAATATGGTTCTATAATCTCCCTCCCTCTTTCCTCGTCAATTAGACCTGGACATTTATAAACCTGCTATTTATAAACTCAAAGTTTGCTTGAAATAAGAATTGAGAAGCTTCGGCGTATGGATACTGCTTATAAAGTAGGCCTAACGGATATAAATATTTTGTTCTTGCTCTGCTACTGCTAGATCTACATGTGCCAGTCCAGTTGGCCTACTCCACTTGTCTGCTGTACAGTACACGCAGGAGCTTCGCCATGCACTATGCGGGGATTTTTTAAATAGCACTGTTTAAGAATTAACAGAAATTAGTTGTTTTTTCCTTAAAGGTAAACAAGAAACGCTCTCATAAAATTAAAACTTAATATAATATAGATCTATGCCCTATGCATATCTAGACGAGATAGATCTAGAAATCTAGTTACTATGGCAACTTCAACTATGGATGGTAATCTACCGTTAAATAAAATCGCCCGCGACAAGTAATGTGAAAAACAGGTGACGTCTTATATTTTAATAATTATTTCACATTTTGAGGAGGATTTATGTTTTGAAAAATACACAAATGGGTAAAACCTTAGTTTAGCGTCGGTTATTATTCCGGAATCGTATAGCAGTAAAAAACAGTAAAACAATGCCAAAGTCTGTCACACACTTCCGGAATTCACCGGAAGTACTGTAAACCATACTTTATTTGGCGTCATCTTTTATTTTTATACAGAATGTTTAAAATTTGGATAGATTTATTTTTGTAATCATTTTTACATTTTGTAATCATTTTTAGTATTTTCGTAATCTAGATTTTTTGGTAATCTATCGTTTTAGGTACGTAAAATCGCCCGCGACTAGTAATGTGAAAAACAGGTGACTCCTTACATTTTAATAATTATTTCACATTTTGAGGAGGATTTATGTTTTGAAAAATACAAAAATGTTTCCTTGTTTCATTTATGTACCTGTTTTTAAACAATTGAATCAAAACTTTTCAGTAATAAATGAACACCAGCGATGTTTCCAACAGATGCAACCATGTTCATTTACTATAGCAGCCATCTTGTTAAAGTTTTATTTTTATAGACTTATAGCGCGAGATTCAGGCGGAAGTCACTCTATTTTACAAATGGCTGCTGTTTATATAGCAAATCTTGCTTGCAGACACTGCTGTTTAAAGTTAATTTCTGGCCTATATTGATGTATTTAGCCATTGATTTAGGTTTATTATTCATTTATCTATAATATTTGACTTAATTGACACAAACATATCACAATATACTTCTATTACAGCCTTGACAATGAGGTAACGTTATCGTACATTAATAGCCGCGGGCGATTTTACGTACCCAAAAAGATAGATTACCGATTTTTTTAACTTGGCCTAGCAGCTAGATATCTAGCTAGATCTAGATCTAATTAATTAATGGTCGCAAATCCGCTGCAAGCCAAAAACATTAAATTATTACATTTGACTACATTTACTACATTATTTATATTTATATTAATATGTTTTTTTTTTATTTTTAGATCTACCAATTTAAATTAACTATTATTTATATTCTTGTTTCCTTTTGTCGATTAAACTTAAAAAATTAAAACATAATTTACTACAATAGACTTTCAATTTATTTATATTTCAATGGTCAAATAAACCATGGTTTACCGTAACTCTAGTTACCGAAACTCAACAAACATTACCCGATAATTTCTGACGCTAAACTAAGGTTTTACCCACAAATGGATAAGTCAAAAGAATAATTTTAGTTTAGATTAATGTGTAAAGGTTGTGCACAAGTCTTGTCTTCTTACTTTCTTGTATACAAAGTATAGATAGAGGAAGTTCTGTAATGGTGCAAAAAAAATTTTTTTTTACGTTTTACACCTCCCTGACTTGGAAAAAGTTTTGCAATTTTGTATGTGTGTCTGTAAACACGATAACTTGAGTACCTTAACAGCTAGGTTGATCAAATTTCATATTTAAGTATTATATCAAATGAGCTGACCCGTGCTGTAAGCACACGCCGCTATTTAGATCTAGTTGTTTTATTTTCTACGCTTTAGTAATTCATAATTTGTGAATTCAACACTACCAATGCTGCGACTGAAAATATTTTGCTTTAAATCAGTAGCTCATGAAGGACAATAATCTTCAACCTCCCTTCCCCTCCTCCCCCACGAAAGCAGCCATTCATCACGACAGTTTACAGACAACAATGAAAAGATCAAGCAAAACTTATTACCTCCCCTTTGTTTCAAATTGTTTAAAAACTAAATTATCTGCCCATAATAGTCGTCACTAAATTGATTGTAAACATTTGGCCTGAACCACATCTCACCGGACTGGTGGGGGTGGTAGCTATGCTATATAAGTATATGCCTAGACAGCTTGCGTTTACGTGGTGTCTCACATGGTCCCCATGAAGAGAATTATAGATATAGATTAATAGTTCTGTATCACCTTTTCAGCGATTTCCAATAACCTGAAGTGGAACTTATTCTACTTTCAATTTTTCAAAAGCCTATAACTTGAGTACTGTTTCAAATAGATAAACAAAATTTCACATATGAGTAAAATATCTAATTCTCTGCCTTCTTTCAAATTTTGAGTAATTTCCGTTGACCGGAAGTAGTAATTTACGCTATTTCAGATTTCTCAAAAAAACGCATATGAATTTATAAAGTACCAATAATATTCCTCACAATTATATACGTTTCATTCACTTGGTATGCAATTACTTTTTTCTAGGAGATTCTATTTTAAAAAGTTTAAGTAATTAAAGTGGATTAAAAATCATGTCTATATCCCGAGTTGCCATCCCCCGTAGTGTTATATAAAAATATTCGAGAAAGTTTAAGGGAGATCACTCCCAGTTTATTTATAAAGAACTAGACTAGATCTAGAAGATCTAGCTTTTAGGTTCTAGACTACATAAACTTAATTACGAGTCCGGTTTTTTAAAAAGTTGAATTTTTTTAGTCATGTACCCATCAGAGCTGGGTGGACTCTTGGACATCCTACAGTACAAGTCTAAACCGAGATCCAAACCGAGACCTTCAAGCTAGCAGCGAAATAGCATTACTTAGTAGTTAAATGTAAATCTGTACAATATCAAAATATGTTAATTCCTTACTTTTTCTTTAGTTTAGGCCAATCATGGGTTTCAACACAAGACAAACAAAAATGGTAAATTATTATGTTTTACTTAATATTCTATTTTATTCTAAAATTTAGATTATTGAATAGTTCGTCTGTAGTGTTATTAGTGTAGTGTTTGGAAGTGCGTAACACCCAGTGCTTAACTATAGGGGGTGTTAAGGGAGAGTGGGGTTATAAACCCCCTCCCCATTAATCCACAAAATGACAGTTGTCTCATGTTAAGCTATAACCAATACAATGAAGATGTGTACATAGGAGTTATTATACCTATAAACCTAGAAGATGTGGACATAGGAGTTATTATACCTATAAACCTATCATGAAGAATTTTTAAAGTTTGTGAAAGTAGAGTGCATTTTTTAATACAATACAAATATCCCTTGTACATTTTTTTGTTTTGTTTTCATTCATGAAATGCAAATCTGTATCCCTGATTTGAGTTTTAAAAATGTTGTTCTGAAAAAGAGAATGGTTAGTTTTTTATAATACAGATGCATATTTGATTTTTCTGAAGGCTATGAAACTCTATACTATACATACTTTCTTCCTGTAAATAGAAGAAGGGAAATCTCAGACATGCAATAACGCAACAAAAGTACCTTCATGCAAACAAACCTAAGTCTAACAAACCCAAGTTCAGAAGGACATTGTCTCAACGTTATAAAAAGGTTTGTTATCACATTAACACTGCTTCTAAATTTTTCCAGTTACTGTTTAGTTTATTATTTCTGGGTTTTAGAGTGACAGCATTACAGTAGCCTGTCCCATGACCTACTTTTTTTTATCATCGTCATGGTAATGATGGCCACCAAAAATAGCTATAGAATTTTAACATTATTTCATTGTCATTTTAGAAGATTGTAGTCTATTTATAATAATTATTTTTGCATATTATTCTATGATATCGATCTAGTTTTAACGATGTACAATTAGTGTTTGATGCAAACCTGCCATTTGTTCATTGTTTTGGCCTAATCACTGAGAATATTGAGCAGAACAGTGAGCATAACGCTAATTACTTTTATTTAACATTATTATAAAAACACTTAAGCTTTTTTAAACTGTACAAAATTATATGTTAAGACTTACTAAACTAATTTCATTAATTTTTTAAAAAATTATGCAGGGTAAAAAAAAAAACCTTCAAAAATAACTTGATCAAGACAATAGCCAACTAAGCCAGCCTATTTTCCCCGTTGTATTTAAATGGGAAGAAATCTAGCAGATGACACAATTGTGCTGAATAGTCAATCATGTCACAATAACACAAAAACTAACCCACCGTAGCAGTCATAGCATTGTAGCCTTTTAAAAACAAAGTTTTTTCACAAAACATTTTCTAGGCTACCAACTATTTCGTGATTATTAAATTGGTATCAAATTAATGTTATATAAAAGTAGTTTTTAATGGTCTGAGTCAACTTGAGCAATAATGAAGCTTAAAATCTTAGGTGCCACCCTAATTACAAGGGTTCATGTATGTATAAGTCTACGTACTGCTTGGTAATAGTCTGCTTATCTTGTATTATGGTCTCACATAGAAAAATAATGAATACAGTAATTTTATAGTAAAAAATATGTTATACCCCTTAAACTTGTTTTAGTCACTTTGCCCTATATCATTTTTTAGATAATAGTATATTATATACTTTTTGTTAAAATAGTAAATTAAGTTTTCTATTTCATTTATAGTCAAGAAGAGCAAGAAAGAAGAAAAGTGGAAACATTTCAAGCGATGGTTACTCGTCAATGAGTGATACATCATTGATCTTAAGCACATCATCAAACCTGTTTCGCTTGGTGACACCACAGTTCCCAACAGCTAATGCTCCACTGGGTTGTAGTGAGACTACAATACTTGCCATATGTTCCGACTACAGTTCCATGCAGTCATCAATCCTTCAGGATCACAGAACATCCTCTGACGTAAGAAATAGATTCAAATATTAACAAAGTGGCTGATAAGTTATAAAACATGTGACCTTTTAGGGGAAACCCAATTTTTCATTTGCAGCTGCAATTTCCTCCACTAATTTCATTTTCTCCTAATTTTTCCGCTGACTTTCGATTTTTTTCAAAGATTTTTTCCGTATATTAAAAAAATAATGCAATACCAATAGAACCATAGAATATAAAAACCCAGAAATGACCTCTTCGAAAATAGCTGAAATATGCATTCCACATATTCTTATTTCAACTGAGTATTACAGTATAGGTGTCAGGTCAAACGGTCAATCGAATACAATTGGGCTTGATATGATAGTGCAAGATTAAATTTAGGTCAAGGTTCAGAATTTTATGTGGATTTCTGAATTTTTAGAACGCAAATTTTTAGTCCAAAGTTTCAGCTGATATTTTCAGTTAAATTTGTATTAAAAACAGGAAAAAAAGTAATGCCGCTCTTTAAATCAAACTTACATCTCCCAAGGCTGGTTTCTTCGCTTTTAATCTCAAATGCACAGTAGTCTAGCTATAGCCTAATTTATCTACTGGCATTTTAACTCACCCAAATCTACTGTTTCTCTCTGCTTCTCATTTTATTTTATTTCACATTCTCAAATTAATATTGAAATAATTTTGAAAAGTGACTATGAGGATTAGACCCGCCCCTTTTTGTAGCAACTGTGGCTCTTGTGACCTCACCATGACCTCAAGTACATATTCGGCTCTGCTTATTTGACTTTGACATCATTTTTATTTTTCCCCAAATAGCTATTTCCTGCTATGACCTATGCTATAGGCTTACTGACTTCAAAGCTAATGTAAACTCACATGACTCCGACCTTGTCTTGTTTGTGAAAGAAAAAATACGATACAGACTGTTTTTAATAAGGGGTCATGTCTATAATTGATGCACTCGTGGTGGGGGGGGGGGAAGTGTCTGTAATTTTGTGACAAGGGGTTCAGATACAGTGACCTCACATTTTGCATTTTAAAAAAAATATTTGAAACTGAATTTTAGCCGTTATTTTGCATTTTAGAAAACTGTTTTAATTAATTGTAAAAGAAATTGATAAAATACCATAATATGTTGGTCCAGCTCATTCAATATTTTAGAAAAAAAAAATCTATGGTTTTTAAGAAGTTCAGATGAAATTTTGAGGAGGGGGGGGGGGGGGTCGCGCGCGGTTGTTGGCTGAGGTGTTGTGTCATTTTAGGGGCAGCGGCTTTTTGTGACATTGAGGAGAGGGTAAAAATAGTAGAAAAAAGCATGATGTCATTTTTGTATGACTCCTAACAATCTACTGCTATTCCAAAAGCATAAATAAGGATGTGGCTTTCAAAAAGGTTAATTTTGGTTCAGATGTTTTTACAAGTATTAATTACAAACCACTCCATAAAATAAATATGAGTGTCAGACCCTTTATAATTCCAGCTGATCTCAACAATTTTATTTTTCATCACATAAACAAAAACTTTCAAATTACAATTAATCTAAACCATAGGCTCTTTACACTTAATTACTTACATTTTTATTATGCCCATCCATAAAAGAATATAACTTATAAGGCATAATTTCATATTGAAAACAAGAGTACAACTACATTAGTACAGTTTAAATTAGCTTAATGTTACAATAAAACTTAACTGCCACTTTTGTTAAATTGTAAAATTTAATTAAAGCATTAAATTGGAATTAGACAAGACTTTCAATGTTATTTTAAAGTAAAAAAAAATTCATATTTTTATTTTCATGGTCTGGTCTCATACCTGCTATTAACATCTCTCAACATTTGATGCATCAGTAAACTAGCTAGAATTTAATGGAATAACTCTTCTCTATAAAATTATTTACCATTTATCTCCATTATACAAAAAAATGTCTCTTCTAGGTTTTTGCAGACAGGATCCACTATCATAAAACTTATTTTACACATCTCTTGAAAAGTAAGCCAAGAAATCCACCCTTTCATGTTTATAATTGCACTATTTCTTTTTTATTCTGTTAATCTAGACCTATTTTCTAATGCTTTGCTTTGATATCTTCTTTATTTCCATTTTTGTAAATCCAACATATTACATTGATTTTTAAACTAACTTTTTTTTTCTAACACTCATTGATGACACTAACAATAAATGTGTTCTTCTCACATGCCATACTGTAAGCAAATACACAAGAAATGTCTGTGTTAACTTGTATTCTGATACTTGTAAACAATTGCTCACAGATAGGTAATATAATCTTAAGGAAACAACAGACTTAAACATAGTTTTATTATGTATCAATAGCATTTCAATTCATATTTTGTTCTTATAATAAGCTAGTTCATGAATGATAAAAAATAGAAATATTTGGAGAACTTGACACCAAACAGCTGTTTTTTTTTTTGCCTAAGTCAGGTACTAATACTATTAATCACAACAGGGTCAATGTGACACCAAATCAATCAGCTAATCAGAACCCTTGAGTCTCATGTAATCAGTCCATTACACTTACATTTTAACATTGCTTGTTTCACTTACTGTGTAAAATTATTTGTCTATGGTTTTAACTTTTTTTTTTAAATTTATATTGCAATTAGGTTTTTGCCATCTGTATAAGTTTATACAATTTACGGTTTGTCCATAAATAACATCACTCTAATAGAGGGGTGGTGGATAGGAGGTTCCAAGTGATGACACACTTTTGCATTTTCAAAAGTAATATTTATTAGGTAATTTTAAGAAAGGGTGTCTGATGTTTAAAGAGATCAGGAGGGATAATGGTAAAGATCATTTAAAAATAATTGTCATTTATTTTATTGATGGCCCCCTAGTTATGAATTACTTAATCTCCCCATAACAGTGGTGTAAAAAATGATGTTTTATGTTTTAGATTATTTATACCAGCAGCTTTTTGAATATTGCACCATCAATAAAGTAAACAATGCTTGTATAAAAATGTTATTCACTGAACAGAACTGTGAGCAAACTGAGGGTGAAACATCTAGCCTTTGTGTGGAATCTGAGGACTCAAGCCCATTCAAAGCTCATAATTACCAGGTACACTGATCATGCCAATACAGGCTTCCAATTTTTCCAATCTCGTAACTGAATTAAATTTTTTTAAAGATATTTGGATCTTAATATTATTTTTTTAAAAATGCCCTACAAACCTTTTTTTAACAGTATTAGAAAAAACAAAAATATTAATACTGTTAATTTGTACAGTACTCATAGCAGTAGGCCTAGTACTGATCTCTTTCTTAAAGTGAAGTAATGTCTCATAATTTTATTGTTTCATTTTGCTGTGTTTTGCTAATCGTTCCTCTTAAAAGCAAAATTGAGAAAAAAAAGAAAAATGTATCTATGAAAACTGCTTTCTGGCTATGTTTAAAATTTATGTAATCCAAATAACAAAAAAAATAAGGCGTGAGTGATCTTTCCTGAACTGTTTCGGATATTCTTATATAACACTATGGGGGATGGCAACTCAGGATATAGACATGATTTTTAATCAATTTTTAAATACTTAAACCTTATAAAATAGAATCTCTTAGAGTAAAGAATTGCACACCAAGTGAACATCAAACAATGTGTGTATAATAGTACGGTACATTAGTACTTTATAAATTGATATTCGGTTTTTTTTAAACATCGGATATAGCGTAAAGTACTACTTCCGGTCACTGGAAATTAGTCAAAATTTGATAGAAAATAGAGAATTAATTCTTTTACATATATTTGAAATTTCATCTATCTATCCGAAAATAGTGTTTAAGCTATAGGCTTTTAAAAAACCGAAAGTAGAATAAATTCCACTTCTGGTTACCGGAAATCACTGAAACGTTGATACCAAACTACAAATTTGACATAATACTTATATATGAAATTTCATCAACCTAGCTGTAAGGGTACTCAAGTTATCGTGTTCACAGACAGACAAATAGACAAAAATGCAAAGCCAAGTTTTTCCGACTCATTACATGTAAAACTGCAAAAATTTTATAAATCTGGAATTAGAATTTTTGCCAGATTAAAATAAGTCCCTTATACTCTGTATATGTAGAAGTACTGAGGTGTAAAACAGTGAAAACTGTCAAACTTTCATGTGATTGTTTTTAGCACGACCACGATTACAATATTCCCTCTATACTCTGAATACGAGGAAGTAAAAACGTCCACTTATTTTCATTTTTAACTATGCTAAAAATAACTAAAATTTCTTTGCTTTTTATTTTTCAGCTTAATTTTTATGAGCAACGCGTCATTAAAAATACAGAACTGGCAAAAATTTTGAGTGAACTTAACCCACCAGAACCGTATGAAACTGAGCATAAAAGTCTTAATTGGGAAGAGGAGAGCAGCTTGGTCAACCATTTGAGAAACCCTGAGGAAGTACAAGATAGTCAAACACAAGCAGTCTTAACGCCAAACCTAACTTCTAGTAGGAAACGCTCAATATCTTCAAGCCATGAACTGTCTGAAGGATATATGTCATGTCCATCCACACAAGATAGCCAGCGTGCTGGGCTGCTTGAACAGCGAGAGAAGACATCTCTCTGTCTGACACATCTCCTTGAAACTTTAAATAACACAAGTGATCTTCATGACATTGATAATTCAGAAGAAACACAATTGAAAGGCTATTTGTCTGATGAATCAGCTGAGCAGAATCTGGCTGAGGAAGATACTGCACCAGCAGCAGCACAGGCTGCATCCAGCTTTGCAGAATATCTAAATAATGGAACCAGATTTGTCCCATCTACTGAGACATGTGCAGCTCTTGAAAGCAGAAATGACCCATCTATGCTTGAGGTAAGGACATTATTTTTATTTTGGTATTACATATTTACATCATTGAGTACATAAAATAATGTCCCAAATTTAAAACAGTGAGTTATACAATTTATCAATCAACATGACATATGTTTCAAATTTGATAATCTTGTTTTTCAATTAAAATTATGATATTTAAGGCTATTGATAAGCACTTGTAAATTAGCTATTTATTTTGTCTCTAACATAAAGATACTTAAGAATAAAGGAGCTAATTTGTTTAAATTCTATTTAAGAGGCATACCTTTAAAAAAAACCATTATTTTATGAATTAATCTAGTGTGTGCAGGAATGAGAAATATCTAAATTATAAGCACACAAAAACTTAATAAACACTGCTTAACAATTGTAAATGTAGCCTCAAATAATTATACTAAAAAACAAGAGAGTATGTGCACTAAACCATTTGACAGAATTTACAACTGTCTGAATGTAATTAATTTTCTGAATCTCAAATAGTTACCCATTATTAAAAAGAAGTAAATAATTCAAAAACTATTTAAGATACTAGAAAAATGCATGTAGAAAACTACTATGCATGCACAAAAAAATCCAAATATCAACAGAACACAGAAAATTTCACATACAGTAGAACACCTCACTGTAAAATGTGCAAATGGAATACACATACAATAAAAACTCCACACTTAACCATGAAAGTATTTTAATATTAGTCATTATACAGTTGATTGGTTTACTCATCAATAAAGTTTATAATATAAATGATTATTTTGTAAATTTTTACACAAGTTTTTTTATTGAAAATAAGCTCAGTGATACCTAGTTTACACTGCAAATTATTTCACATTTAAGGTTTCCTTTTTTTTTTTTTTGCAAAGTTATCAGTCAGTTCATTTTTACTTGGTGTGTATAATTTTTGTATGAGCTTTATTTTGTGTGTGAAATTTTCAGTGTGCTCAAGTTACATGTTCACAAATGCTGTATATTTTTCCAGACCAAAAAGTTTTTTAATATGCTTTTGTTTCTTTAGCAAGAAAAATTTACTTTGTGGACCCAAAATTAATCCAAGTATTTTAACATTCTTTGTGGCCATAATTCAATGTGCAAAATCTTTTTCTTCTTTACCTTTTTTTTCAACTTAGGGTGATCCTTGTGGATTCCATGGTTTCGCTCATCTGCCAGTTTCTTCAAAATATGGCCTATCCATCTTTTCATGCTGTGTCAAATCTAATCTATTTTATGTAGGTTTTTTTCTGTGTAATTTTCAGTTTGTACATCATTCATAAGTATATTGTCTGTATGTAGGGCCTACCTCTTTATCTGCAGTTTTTTTTTTTTGCTTTGAATTTTCTTCCGGTGTGCACAATTTTCTGAGTGTAAAATTCAGTTTTCTTAATATTTTTTGCACAATTTTCTGAGTGTAAAATTCAGTTTTCTTAATATTTTTCGCACAATTTTCTGAGTGTAAAATTCAGTTTTCTTAATATTTTTCTCAGACGTGCATTGTTCTATGATGTATTAATTATTGGGTCAACAACTGCTTGTAATAATTTTTTAAAAATTCAACTAGAATTAAGACCTAGTTCATTGTGTTGGTTAATACTAATTTTAAACCAAAATAATTTTTATTTCTCAGCAGTTTTAGACAGACTATAGTTTATGATTTGGATTTTCTTTTATTTCAGCTGTACATTTCTGGAGCAACGGCTGAGCTGTGTGACCAGTCATTAGATTTGACAGACATTTCAGAAAGTAGGCTTGCAGGCTCACATATTGAACAACCAGAGTTCAGCACACCACAGCTTATCCAACCTGGGTCAGCGAGAAATGAGCTTCAAACAAATTTTGTACCACAAGCTCTGGTTGTGCATGAGGTACACTTAGTCACACTTCTATAATACACCACTCAAATTTCATAAACTCTGTTGCACTTTTTTTTGTAAAAAGCTGTTGTTAAGAGTCAAAAATAAAGATGTTAAATTAATTTGTTGACAAATGTTTTAAGCATTTTAAAAAAAAATGTATAATTTAAATTTTTATTTTTTAAACATTAATGTTATTTCTATTGACCGTTTTCAGATTTACCAGAATGTTTCAGATGTGGCTATTGACTTGACGCAGGCAGATGCTAACTTTTTCTTGGTCCAAGAACTGCTGCCTTCAGATATTGGAGTCGCTCTTGAAACTGATATTGATGTTCATGACACATGTATTGATATCCGTCAAGCTAGAGCACAGAGACGTTCACAGTGTAAGTACAAAAAATTCTTAAAGATTGAAAATGTTGATATTTTAGAAATTATCATTTCTAAAACATGATGCTGCTACTTTTTACGTGTGGCTTTTTTTTTAAAAATAGAAATTCCTTGAGAGGTGACAGAAACACATGGCTTTCCTTGAAGCAGACCTCAACAAGGATTTTTTTTTAAAGGACCAACAAATCATTTTTTTATTGAAAAATCTTAACTATTCATTAATAGTAGGGTAGACTTATTTATTGTGATATTTTAGTACTTACCTCTAAATCCAGCAAAATTGGGACCAATACAATTCATATGTTGCATCAACATAAGCTTAACCTACTTGAAAGTCAGCTTGTTTTTTCTTTATGAAATAGACATGAGGATATAAGATATTTTGACAGTTGCGCTATTTCATGAAAGTCTACAAGACAGTTTTTTTTTCTTTTATTTCTTATTGTAATACCTTATGGTCTTGAGTAATATTTGATGAAATGGTTTTTATTTATATAACTTGTGTATTTTGGCACTTAAGTCTATAGTATGCAGATAGTAACTCTGTAGGACACAGAAAAAGTTACTCTTACTGTGCTCTACTGTTATGCTCTGTTGCAGGGGTGTGCTGTTGCTGATTGTCAGAAGACAACATCCCAAAGAAAAAAATGTTATTCTTTTTAAATTAATTGAAACATGCATTTAATTAAGTCCTTAAACAACAAACACACTATTACATTACAATAACAGCCACTACTAGTTAATTAAATAAAGAACACACAAGAAATTGAAAATTAAATGTATAATAAACTTGCACTACAAAACATCAATCTTTTTATAGGGATCATTTTTGTTAGAAAAGAAAATTCTTAATTCATATTTACTTCCTGTTTCCTTTCATTGAAATAGATAAATATTTTATTTTTTTGGGAATCACACTGTTAGGTCCTCTGACAATAGACACAGACCTCTTTCACAGAGAGCATAACTTAACTATAGAAGGCATTGTAAGGTGATTTGTATGCTATCAGATACAACTGTTTTACTGCTATTACTTGAAGCGGGCTTACACACGTAGATCACTGGTTACATTCAATTAATGAGCGGGAAATAAAATCTTCTGTGATTGGAACTCATTAATGAATTGATCATATGAGTCCTGTTATTAAGCAACAAGCCAGTGTAACTGAAGCCATGCACAGAGCAACGACAGTTTGTCAACTCTTATCATATGGGTAGTCCTTTTCACACTTGTCCTTTGTTTTATAAAGGAAAGTGTTACCTTGTAACGGCCATCATGATGAGAATCATAATGGCTGAGGTTTTGTAAAAATGCCACTATAGTAGATAAGCTAAGAGTAACTTTTTTAGCTGTTTTACATAATTATTTTTGTGTTAATTACCTGATGTTTTAAACTTGGCTGTGATCACCATAAAATTGATAGATAGGAATGGAAATAAAAATGTGTATTCAATTATTTTACAATATCCTATAAATATTCTGTGTACCTATTTTAAAGTTAGCTGTACACTGATTCTGCACATCAAGACGACCACTTAAAATGATGTCATTTTAACAATTTCAGGCCATAGAACTTTATTTTAAAATAAATGCAGAGCAGTATGTTTATGTAAAATGGTTGAAGTAATAGCGTTTAAATATAACTTGAAAAACTTTGAAAAAAAAATCACTTTGGACTTTTAAACATTTTCTGTTTTATCGTTTGTAAATAAAACCTTTTTTTTTAAATTGGTTATTGAGAGAAATGTGTTAATTTAGTATCACTTACCATATTAAAATTGTATATTTTAAGAACGGAAATTATTTTAATTAAATCTTAAGAAGCTTTTTTTTAAAGCTTTGGTTGGTGATGGAAACTTCAGTACACAGTAAAGTTTTACACCAAGACCTCAATATTTTAAATTTTAAGCCACATTTAACCTGTAATTTTATAAATTCTTAAAGGTTTTTTTTTAAGTTAACTTTTGATGAGGGGGAGGTGATTAATATTTATAAAAATTTTCTTTTATTATATTTATTATATTCAGACATTTATGCAGCTTTCTATTACTTGTCCATCATTTTATATATATAAAACAATTTCTATATTAAATGCTTAATTTAAGCCCTATATTCATTATTATTTTTAAGCACCATTGTCAAGATTTGTACTGTTTTGCAAATACTTTTTTTTTATTACCAATCGGCTATAGCCAGAGAGTAGAGAGGATTTTAACATTTTTAAATAAAAACACAAGGAAAATGAAGTCTATTGTTAGTTGCTTTAGTAAATCAATTTTGTTTCTGTGATGTCTTACATATACATTTATTTGCATATCACACATACTTAAAAATTATAGGCCTTGTTTTTTTTTGGTAAATTTGCAAATAAAAATAAAATCTTTCATTCACACTATATATAGTCCTACTCATTGGGTTTGTTTTGTAGGCTAATAAAAGAGAATGATTAGGCCTATGTAGTAGATCTCTCCTGCCTTGCCTTCTTGTGTATTATTTAGCTATACCTGCCCATAGTTAATAGAGCGAGTAGGCCTATTTAAAACTACTGATAACAATATTTAAACCCTTGGAGCTACATTAACCCTAAATGTTCAGGTCTTCTAAGTGGTAGTTAGTCAATATCACTTCTCTTAAAAGGGATGTCACATAATTCTATCAATCCCCCCTGAATTCTCATCCAAACTCAAACCACCACGAAATTGAGGCACGAGGTTCCTTCCACACCTAAGGTTAAAAAAAAGCAACCAAGATGTTTAGTAGGCCTAATTGTAATATATTAAATAAATTTATAATACGACCACGGGATATAGGGGGAGGGGGTAGCCTCCTCGGTCCAAAAAGTATTTGTTAAAATGGAAATCTATAAAATGTAACCACTCTTATTTTGTAATTCAAATAAAATTTTATACAGTTGTTTAAAGCAGTTTTAAATGTTGTTATATTTCTTACGTGGATCTCTGGGGGGACATGGTACAACGCGCACCCAACTAAATTTAGGAGGGCGGGTGCTTTTTAACTAACTTGATAAACTAAATATAAGTAGGTGGAGGATGGGCGCAAAAATGATTCGTCCCGGGTACTGGAATGGGTTGCTACGCCTCTGACTTTATCACGGCCAGTAGATCCCAAAATGTCACTATTATGTTATTACTACCAGTGTCTTATTCTCCACCAATCACGCCACCTTCCTCCTCACCCCCTTATGTAAAGCCCAGTAGCGTACGCAGGGGGGGAGCAGGGGGATCGGCCGCTCCCCCTCTGGCCATTTTCAGCAAAGTGGCGCCTTTTTGGAAACTTTTTAAACTCAAAGTTTTAAACAATGATATTTGTTAAAAAATATTTTTGTATGGATTTTTTCTATGTAAATCACAAGATTTCTTTTCATGCAGCAATTAATTAAGCATTATTGTACTAATCTATTGGTGTCTACGTTTACAACACGTATTAACAGCTGCATCAGTTTGACATTCTAAAAATAACCATTACGATGCATTGCAATGTTTAAAAATTCTCTACGGTAGTACCACGGTAGTACCACTTGGCAAGAGGGGTGTTAAGTTTAAGGCAACTGTATAATGTATTAGCTTACGAATAATCGAATTAGAAAATGTTATACATAAAACTTCACACATAATTACTTTATATATACAGTTTGAAACGTGTGATTAATTTAAAAAAAACTACAATACAGACACAAATACAACTAATGTGGCACCTCTATTTAAATTTACTTATGAGCAAACTCGTAGTGGTGGGGACACTTTGACAAGGTCAACAACGTCATCACGATGAAGTAGTAGTATTATGACAGTTTGTGCGATAGTGATTACGATTACAAATTATATGAAACAGTTACAACCCCCCTCCCCATGGACCCCTCTGTAAAAAAAATAGTGTCATAATACCACTGCTACTTATTTAAATCCATTTCAGTAATATATATGTGTGTAATATATATTTGTGTAATATATATGTATGTTTAGAACAGTCATCTAAAAACTGACGCTATGTTCACTCTGAGTTGGTCCCCCCCCCCCCTACACATACCTCACCACCTGATCTGTTTAGTACATGTAGAAAAAGGCGTAATGATGTACCAAAGTACCATGCCGCCAGAAAATTAGCTTTTTAAACATAAAACTGTGAATATTATTTTTGCAATTACCAGTAAAAAGGTGTGAGATCAATACAGTGATCTAACCCATACCTATCACTATGTTAAAAAAAATGATCTTTAAATAACACAAAGAAGCAGCAGTTAATTAAAATATATAATTTGAACTGAATGACCGATATTTAGTTAAATGTAGGCTGTTATTTCGTATGTATTCCAATTACGTCTAAAAGCGTGGTTTTTATATCAACTCTGATTTTAAAAACTTTCATTATGCTGTAATACTTTAGCATTTATGATGACGATATATTAAATTCTGATTATAGACAAAAACATTTTATAATCACGAATAGTGTTAAACAATTTCATTATATTCTAAAGTAATTATTTATTTGTTTTGACATTTATAATTAAATGTGTAGATATATACATATTTATATTAAGAGAGTGATTATTTCCCCTATTTCACTTGTCTTAAATAATTTCCCAGGAATTATTATGTAAGAAACTTTTTTTACAAGAATTACAAAACAGATTGTGTTACGTTCATAGTTTTTGGTTGTAGTGTATATATATATATATATATATATATATATATATATATATATATATATATATATATATATATATATATATATATATATATATATATATATATATCAGGGGCGTAGCGAGGGGGGGGGGGGGCGGGGGGTACGGACCGCACCGGGTGACACCATTTAGGGGGGTGACACCAAGGCAAAAAATAGCAAAATATATAGAGAAAAACTCGAGGGGGGGATGCAAATCGAAAGTCTGAGGGGGGGTGCAAATCGAAAATTTGAAAGTTTGTCCCTGGGAAGGGTCTCTATGCCTCTGGGGGGGGTGACACCATTAAGTGCCGCACCGGGTGACACCCGACCTCGCTACGCCACTGATATATATATATATATATATATATATATATATATATATATATATATATATATATATATATATATATATATATATATATATATATATATATTTGTGTTTAGATTGATACAATATTTGTTTTGTCGGCTTACATTGTGTTTTTTCTTATTTCTTCAGAGTGCTACTTTCAATTTATTTTACATCATAGCGAAGTAATGACATACAGCTAGTAATTTATATATATATATATATATATATATATATATATATATATATATATATATATATATATATATATATATATATATATATATATATATATATAATACACGTATATAGAACGTGTTAAAAATTCGGCGCCTGTTTTGCTATTTTTCGCTCCCCCTACAACGAAAACCTGGATACGCCTCTGGTAAAGCCTCTTCCCCCAAAATCAAACTAATAACTATCTCTTAATAAATAGTAGATTTAGTCGAATATTACAAGAAGTCTTCGTTAAAGAACGAAAAAAAAATGTATTTATAAAAATTAAATGCCATAATGCCCCCCCCCACCCAACGAAATATATACTTGTTACCCCCCCCCCCCTCACCCGGTAAATATCAAGTGCCCCCTTGAGAAAAAAGTAAAAAACAAACACTGGTTTTAACCTCAATCGTAATCACGTGTTTACCACTTTACTACATTTTTAAACCAATAGAAAATTGCCCCGTAGCCTTCCCTTGACTAAAGTGCTTAAAATAGACCTCAGCCTCACTCCGTTGTTAAACATATTTTGACACATGGACCCATAAGCCGACAGCCTTGAACCAACTATGTGCTTGGCAACCATACGGCTGGTTACTAGGGAGCTAACCTTGTTTACCTCGCCTGGGTGACAGCTATGCTATTAGAATACTTACTTCATTACATAATCCAGCTCTCTTTTACTATTTCCGTTCAGACTATATTCCTTATTCTCCTGAATGTATTACTTTAATAATTCCAATCAATCATCCCTTAATCCTTATTAGGGTTGTTTGGGCAGTTGATTTTCTCATAATTTTCTGCCATCAAACACCATTTTCGCGTCCAAGTCAGGACACGATAGGTAGAGAGAAAGGGGGGGGGGGGTGATAAAGGCCGAAAAATATTTCGTGTTGAGGGCCGAATCTTTAACTGGCAAAATGAACATAAGCCATTTCAAAAAGGGAATTCCCCAAAAACACGTAATTTAAAAAAAAAAATCATGTGATGTTATTTACACATAAATCTAGTTGCAGTATTACCGGCGAGAATACTGACCTATGAGATTTATTTTACACGCCTAAGTTATTTAAGAATTAGAGATACTTTGTTTTCATAACACAATAATAATAGTAGGCCTAATAGATTATTATAACATGTTAAGCTAGAGATTATGTGGCATGCAGATCTCACCCTGAATGTTATCGATTTTTAACTGTATCCAAAATTTTAAGAATTATTGATTAGCTGGATAATGAAAGCTCGGGTTTTTTTAATTGTAAAAAAATTGATTATTGAAAAGGCTTATACACAACAGCAGCACCAATATCAAACACTGTTAACTTAATAAACTAAGTATAGCTGACTTTTCTGACTTCATGGACCCACAAGCACTGAGAACAGGACTTGCTTATATCAGAACATTGTTCTACGGGTAAGCAATTCAATGTTATTTTTTCGTCCCTGGAGGGGGAGGGCGATGGTGATGGCAGTGCCCCACCCAACCCTGGAGAGATGCCAAAAAGAAACACTGACTGACGTAATTTAGGTTACGCTGGCGAACATGTCACCCCTGGTAGCCAATGAATATCAGCCACGAATCGTGATTTACCACGCCCATTGCCTTCACCCAGACCAAGCACACCCTTGACCTTTCCAGTCGCCTTCTTCCGAGTTTAAGTTAGGACATTCGTCGCACAGTCTCCTAACGCCCCCCCCCCCCCCCCACCCTCTCCCCAACAGGTATATTTCTGTATATGTTTTCTAAAGCTTTACAATGGTCACGATTGAACAGTGTTTCTTCCAGAATTTTTTCCGGAAGGGGGGGGGGGGCATTTGAAATATTCGGGGGGGGGGGGGGGGAGACTAAAATTTACGGTTAGTTTTATAGTTTTAAAGAGCATCCGATGATTAAACCGAGTCAGGGGTCGTACGCGGTTGTGTAATCGGGGCAGTAGGCGTAGCGAGGGGGGGGGGGGCGGGGGGACATATGTCCACGGGCGTCGAGCTTAGGGGGCGCCAAAATGGGTTGGAAAAATAAATTGAAAGGTTGAGGGGGGTGCAAATCAAAATCTTGAGGGGGGGTGCAAATCGAAAGTTTGAGGGGGGGGGGGTGCAAATCGAAATCTCGAGGGGGGGTGCAAAGTTTGTCCCCGGGCGCCGGGAAGGGTCGCTACGCCTCTGAATCGGGGCTCACGAGCGTCCCTCTACGTCCCCGCCACGTAGGCGGTGAGTGACTAACGGTGATTGATATTACGGTTAGTGGTTAACGTACACTCAAGGCTTTCATACGGCGGGTAGTGCAGATAAACCCGTGTCCCGATAAATATGATCCACGCAAGGCATTGTTTACATTTAAATAACTCAGTTTTAGAAAACAAAGTCACGCGTCAAAGAATATAGGATTGATAAAGAATTCATGAAACCCTCCTTATATACTTTTTCAGACTTTGTCTTTTATGCATTTCATCCAATCACAGTTTAACTTTGGAAAGTCGTTGAGAATACTCCTGGGGAGATTTGTGTAAAAACCACGGGCGGCTCTCCGGCTGGGTGAACTTTGGACAAAGTGACATTATTTTCCCCATACAACTGGGCATCCGCCGTCAGGAGCGTATCAACCCCTCCACTGCGGTCGGGACTAACTTTTTAATGTGGCGCTCACCGAAAGTGGTTGCAAGTGCCTCCCCTGAGAACAATGTCTAAACAGCGTGAATCGAAAAAAAAATAAGAAAAAATATTTTAAAAATCCACCCTTTCTTTGCATAGTGTACAATCAGTAGGGTCTGCCACTGGTTATGCTAGAATGCCAAGTACCAAATGGAAGATAATATGTTTGGCCTTTTTTAATGTGTTTATTTGTATACAGGGTTTGTTATATTTGTAAAACCTTGTTGGATGTAATATTATTTTGCGGCATTATATGCCTAATTGAATTAAATATGTTCTCCGTTTGATAGTTGAAATTAGTTTAATCTATATTGGATGTCTATAGCTGATGTTAATGTATTTCACGATAAAGCCTATTCTACATAGGCTAGTTGTCATAAAAACCATATAGAACACCTGTCTGTTTTAAAAAATAAATAAAGGGAATTTTCTCATGCAGATGAGGCTCGTTAGCTGGGGACAGCCACTCTTCTAGGAGAGACAACTTCAAAATCAAACAACTGCTGCCTTGTAGTATGTTATTGGTTGGACAAAGGCCATGGAAGCAAATCCAAAAAGAAAAGCAGGCTGAAATCGGAGTCAATGGTCTCAATGGCGCATAACCAGTTGACACGTATCCTTAATTGTGATGGAGGCGTGGTCGAGTCGACAAAGAGCTCATGGTTGAAATATTCGAAAAAGTCTCGAGTTCAAACCCTCTGGCAGATAAGGCTCGATCCCTTCCAACACTAAAAATTAAGAACGAAGAAGAAGAAGGAAATTTGAAACTTATTTTTTTTGGCTAGGGGCGGGGCCGGTCGACCTAGGCTATCTTACTTTTTTTTTTGGGGGGGGGGGGGGGGGGGGTTCTGGGTTTTCGTAAAATTGTGTGACAAATGCGACAAAAAAAAACAATAACGTACATATACCAGACTTCGCCTAAATACTTTAACATTATTATATAGCTTATTAAACCATATAGTGGCATATAGGCCTATTATTTGCCTATATTAATATAGCCTACTATCCTAGGGGTCATCCATAAATGACATCACGCCTTTTTTGACGATTTTTACCTCCCCCCCCCTCCCCTCCGTCACACGTCGTCACAAAAAGCCAGCCCCCCCCCCCTAAAATGACGTCACACCTCAGCCTACAACCCCCCCCCCCTCAAAATTGCTGTTGAATTTTTATTCAAACATCGTCATTTATCCAAAATCTTGTCAGAACTCTGTCAACATATATTTCGATCAATTGCTGTTACAATTTATTAAAATCGTTTTCTAAAACGCGAAATAACGGCTAAATTTTTTTTCCTAACATTGATTTTTTTAAAATGCAAAAGTGTGACGTCCCACCATTTGAACCATCTCCCCCACCCTCCTTATCACACCGCCACAAAATTATAGACCCCCCTCCCCCCTACGAGTGTGACGTCATTTATGGACGACCCCCTAATGAAATTTATATAAATTTATATAGAAAATATATACTTTTAACAGTGTCCGCCACCCCCCCCCCCCCGAAGAAAGTCTACCGCCCCCACGAAAATTTCAAGTGCCCCCCCCCCCCCCCCGGAGAAAAAAGTCTGGAAGAAACACTGCGAATGAGATATAGATCTATGATTTAGCCATATGTTATAGCCCTAGATAATAAAAAAAAAATAGATAGGCCTAATGTTAATGAATTAATTATAAGGTCCTGAACCGATACAGAAAAATAATATTAACTAGATCTAGATCTAGATCTAATACGAATTGGACGACTATTTAGTTTTATTAAGATATAGAGGGATCTAGAATCTAGTTATTATTACAAATAATAGGGCCTATCCAGCATATAGATAGAACCTTGGCCTACTATTTAAGTACTATGATACTACAATCGATCTATAAGGCCTGTATTTAAAATAATAAATAATAGGCCTGTAAATCTAAATCTATAGCCTAGTCCTGATCTAAGTCTCTAGAGTCAAGACTCTAGATTCTAGTTTTAAGAGTCAGACTCGAAACTTTCAGTTTGAAAAAATTAGGTCAAGATCTCTCGTTTCCAAGAAGACAAGGTCTAGGTTGTTCTCAGAAGTCTCGGTCTAGATCTAGATTCTCGATCTACTACACTAGGCCTACGTGACTCCAGGT